CCATTCTTCTCAGAGTCAGCCACAGTTTGTTATGATCCACACAGTCAAATGCCTTTGCATAATCAATGAAACACCGATAGACATTCTTCTGGTATTCCCTGCTTTTAGCTAAGATCCATCTAACATCAGCTACAATATTCCTAGTACCACGACCCCTTCTAAACTCAGCCTGGTCTTCTGGCAGTTCTCTGCTGATGTGTTGTTCCAGTCGTTTTTGGATAATCTTCAGTAGAATCTTGCTTGCATGTGAAATCCATGGTAATTGTTCTGTAGATTCCGCACTCAGTTGGGTCACTGTAATTTCCACACTGTTTTGGAGTCACCTTTCTTTGGAATGGCAACAAATACAGATCTCTTCCAGTCAGTTGGTCAAGTGGTTGTTCTCCAGATTTCGTGACCCAATTTGGTGAGCACATCTAGGGCAGCATCTGTTAGTTGAAATATGTTAGTTGGTATACCATCAATTCCTGGAGCCTTATTTTTTTGTCAATTCCTTCAAAGCAGCTAGAACTTCTTACTTCATTACCATAGAACTTTTGCTCATATATTGTTTCATGAAATTCTTCTGTGTCTGCCAGTTCCTTTCGCTGTAGTGACTCTGTATACTCTTTCCATCTTCTTTTAATACTTTCTGGATCATTTAATACTGTGCCCAAAGCATCCTTAAGTATAGCAGCTCGAGGTTTGACTTTGTTCTTCATTTCCTTGAGGTTAAGAAATGCTTAGCCAAGTTCCGCTTTTTTCCCCATAAAATGGTTGTCTGTCAGATACTTGTGTAAATCTGATCATTCAGATTAAGACAGGATTGGCCATCCACTTCTGAAATAGCAGGCTTCTGAAAACTCTATGTATAATAGAACACACATAGACTAGGGCGTCTGAGGCAGAGCTTTCAATAAGGAAGTACAAAGGAAGAGGAACAGTTGTAAGCAGACACTACTTTTTAGAACATGGCATGTGAGAACCATAAATGTAGGAAAATGTAGCTTTTGTTAAGGAAGAAATGGAATGCATAAATATTGACATACTAGGTATTGCTGAGAGGAGATGGACTGGCATGGGGTATTTTGAGTTGTATGATCTTATGATCTATTACTCTGGAGATGAAAAGGTGAAGAAAAATATGATTGCTTTCTTAGTTAAAAGTCATTTCTAGATATGTTTTAAATATAATGTGGTGAGTGACAGGATAATATCCATCTGCCTACAAGGAAGTCCAGTGAATACCACTATCATTCAGATATATACACCAACAACCAGAGCCAAAGAAGTGGAAATAGAAGATTTCTACCAAGTTTAACAGTCAGAGATCGATCAAATATACAATTATGATGCATTAATAATAATGGGTGAATGGAATGCAAAAGTTCGGAATAGAGAAGAACGATCAGTAGTTCGAAAAGATGGACTTCATGCCAGAAATGAAGCAGGAGATAAAACAATTGAATTTTGCACAATCAACGATTCACTCATTGCAAATATGTTTTATAAGAATCATAAATGCAGATTATACACATGGATTTCACCTGATGGTATGCAGAAGAATCACATTGATTACATCTGTGGAAAGAACTGCTTTAGAAGCTCTGTCAGCTGTGAAAGCTTGGCCAGGTGCTGATTGTGAAACAGACCACCAACTACTCATATGCAAGTTCAAGCTAAGGCTAAGGAAAATTAAATTGATGGGAACCAAAATAAGAGCTTAAGTCTATGCTACCTGAATTTCAGACCCATCTCAGGAACAGATTTGAGATCTTGAACACCTGTGAGCGAAGACCAGATGTGTTGTGGGAGAACATCAAGAGTATCATCCAGAAAGAGTGCAAAAAGGTCATTACAAAGACAGAGGAGGAAGAAAATACCAAAATGGATGTCAGAAGAAACTCTAAATATTGAACTAGAGCGCTGAGAAACCAAAGCAGAGGGAAGAATGGAAGATATAGAGCTGAACAGAGGATTTCAAAAGGCAGCTTAAGAAGACAGAGTAAAATATTAGAATAGAATGTGGAAGCAGCTGAGTCAGATAATCAAAAGGGCTGAACTTACTCAGCATTTCTAAAGTTGTCATATACCGTAATTTTTTGTTTTATGACTTGGCTGTTTTAAATAATACAGCAGTAAACACAGACATATGCATGTAAATTTGTGTTGCAGCTGTTTAGCCTGTATACCTGGTGACTGGATCAGATGGTATTTCTGTGCCAAATTGCTTTCCATTGTGGTTGTTCCATTTTTTATTCCTACCTTTATTTTTCATGTTCATCTGTATTACATATTTCATCCCTTTACTCTGGCAAAATTAATATAAGTCCACAAGAATCATCTTGAGTCTGAATAAAAACCATAAATTTAAAAATCATTTCCGGAATAGATTTGAGGCATTGAACACCAATCATTGAAGACCAGATGTATTGTGGATTGTAATCAAAGCTATCATCCTTGAAGAAAGCAAAAGATCATCACAAAGAGAGAGACCAGGAAAAAAAAAAGACCAAAATGGATATTAGAAGAGACTCTGAAAATCACACTAGAGCATTGAGAAACCAAAACAAAGTGACAAAATGTTGAAGTAAAAGAATTGAACAGCAGCTTTCAAAGGGTACCTTGAGAAGACAAAGCAAAATATTATAACAAAATACACAGTGAGCTAGAATCAGAACAGGTGAAGAAATCATCTGGCGTTTTTCAAGTTGAAAGAACTGAAAATCAAATTCAAGCAAACATGGCAAAGCTTCATCTCTCATCCTTTGGGCTATTTCTTGAAAAGGTACATACTTAGAAAGTTTGAGGGCTAGCGAAAGAGCGGAATACCTCCTCGAGGTGGATTGACTTAGTGACTGCAACAGTGTGCTCAAGTGTGTCAGAGATGATGAGGATGACACAGGATAGGACAAGGTTCAAGTCTGTTTTTTATATGTCACCAAGAGTCATGCTTGGCGTGACCGCTCTGAACAACATACCTGGGTGTACAAATATTGATATAT